GGGTCGCGAAGCGATGGAGCCAGAGTTGGGGCCGCCCCGGGTGGGCGCGCGAGGGGTTCCGGAGGATCAGAGGCGGATCGGTGCGGGTTCGAGGCCCGCCTGAACTACATAGTGAGACCCTGTCTCAAAAAGCAAACAAATAATTAAAATTGAAAACATTTTAAAATTTTTGTTCACTGTGTACTGGTGCATAGATGGCCCGGCCTCAAGCGGTAGGGTGCTCTTCTGGCTTTTACTTGCCCCAGACTGGCCTGTTTCTTTTTCTACCTTTAATAAAACTTTTCCACCCTTAAATAATAAATAAATAATGGAATTTTTGTTCTGACAGTAAAAGACATGTTGCCATCAATCCCCCTCACTTCAATTATCCCGCTCTTTGTCGCTTTCTGAAGCAGCGCCGCAGTCTTATGTCAGGTGTTTGTGATCAAAATCACAGTGGACGCTGCAGCCCAGCTCCTTCCAATGGGAAGGCAGCTGGTAAAAACACGCTGTGTCCTCGTCCACTTTACTCACCAGACATGGCACTGTTGTGACTTATCCCTTTTCCCCAAAGTCAAAATGGCTGCAAAAGGGAAACATCGATTCTGGACATGCAGGCAGCCACCACAGCACAGCTAAAGACCCTCAGAAAAGAGGACTCCAGAACCGCTTCAGAAAATGGCAAGGAGGATGAGCTTAAGGGTGTCCAAGCAAGGGAGAGGATTCTGAGGGAGGTGAATGGCAGTGTGTCCTTTATTATAATAAATGTTTAAAATTTAAACGTTCCCCATCGTTTTTCATTACACCGCATAGCTCTCACAGGAAACCCGTTTGGTTTCCTAGAGAGCGTGTTTTAAGGTGGCCACCTAAAGCTTGTAACTCCTGCAGGTGGCCATTCTGCCCTCTTATTATCATGTGGCTGTGAAGCCAAGGAGACCCCAGCAGAAGCCCTTTGGTGCTACCTAATCAGCAGCCTCCCAAACTATGAGCTAAGCAAACCTCTTTTTCCAATGTGCTCCTTACATTCTTGGGTAGTCTTTTTATTTTTTGGTACCAGGGATTGAACTCAGGTTCTTGTGCTCGCAAGGCAGGTGGTAGAATCACTGAGCTAAATGCCCAGCCCTTGGTTAGTCTTTATACCAACAGAAAGTGGACTAGAACCCCTCGTCCTGCCGGACGACAGGTAGGGCCCCTATTGCTGTCCTGTGCTTGGCAAGTTGTGACAGCCACTCCGAGCCAGCCTCCTGTCTGCCCTGCCATGTCCTGACATCACTGCCTTGTCCCTCTGTATTTGCCAGATCGCCCCAGGTTGGCCCCAACCTCATCAGCCTCCACCCCTCCCTCCCACCATCCACTCGCTCAGTGATGCAGTTTATAACCCTGGAGGCAAACAGCAAGGAGGTGGAGTGACACCGGACCACATCCTGCGGGACCCTGGCTGCAGTGTCCCTTCCCGTCCCCTCTGGACGTTCACACTGTCACCCCAGTGGGTCTGTTCATGCAGACCTGAGGCCTGGGGCACAGCTGGGGATGGTCTCGTGGGTGGTGCCTTCTCTGAGGAACCCGCTGGCAGCCAAGGCCCAGCAAAGCAAGCAAGGGGCACCCTGGGCATCGGCCCAGTCCCCTCTAGGGTCTAGGAGGATGTGTCCAGCCAAGCCGTCACCTGTAGTGGGCACTACAAGGAAGCCGAGACACAGCAGTGACCTCCCAGGGGCCTCCGGAGCTTGGGCCACACTAGGGGTGGCTGCCATTGACCACAGTCAGTTGGCCACTTGGGAATCTGGGGTACCAGCCCAGAATCGCCCTTAGTGTAAGAGGGCGAGGCACCCTCCATGGCGTCCTCCCCTGAAAAGTGGGAGCACCACCCCCGCCTCTAGAATCACAAGAACCTGCCCAGCTCATGGCCGTGGCGGGGCAGGGGGAGAAAGGTTACCTCGTGAGGGGCTAAGGAGAGGGTTGCAGGTGGCAAGAGGAGGATTTTTTTTTTTGTTTTTTTTTTTTTTTTTTTTTTTTTTTTTTTTTTGTATTGTAGATCGAACTTGGGCCCCTGCACTTGCAAGGCAGGCAGCTGAACCACTGAGCTAAATCCTTGGCCCCAGGAGGAGGATTTTGAAACTGGTCTCAGTCATCAAGCTCCCCAGTCTGGCCTTGAACTCAAGGTATGATTCTCCTGCCTCAGCCTCTGAGTGCTGGGATTACAGGTGTGAACCACCAGCCCAGTTTGGGACTTGTGTCTTGACACAGTGCCTTTGCCTGCAGAGGAGCACACTGTTCTAGACTCCACATGTGCTCCGCCCACCCAGCCTGCCCCTGGGCCCCCATTGGCCCATTTGCTCACAACTTCCTGTGGAGTGTTGAAAGCATGACTCAGCAGGGTGTGGTGGTGTACCCTCCCATTCCAGCTGCTCCGCGGTTGAGGTAGGAGAAACACAATCATAAGCCCAGCCTGAACAATTGGGACACCCTGTCTAAATTTTAGAAGGGCTGAGAAGATGAACGTGGTGACTCACGCCTGTAATCCCAGCACTTGGGAGGCTAAGGCAGGAGGATCTGGAGTGGAAGGCCAGCCTGGATTTCACAGTGAGACATCCAAAAAAAAAAAAAAATCCAAATATCTTCATAGAGTATTTAAGAGAAGATTTTCAAATATGGGGAAATTTAAAGTAAAATACGTTGATTTCTAAAATGGCACTGTTTTCCTCACCCTGAGTTTGTTGGTGATTCTTAATGGTCAGCTCTCAGTGACAACAAAGAAACGTGCCTTGTAGCATCTGCGCGTTTCTCTGGTGTCCTCCACCCAGCCGTGGCCAATTTTGAGCAGCCAACGTGAGGTCACCGGACTGGAAAGCAGCAAGGAACACTCCAAGTCACTCATCCCGACCTCTCCGCTTCCAAAGGGCTGTCTCTCACTGTCCCCAGGGACGTGAGCCCAGGACATGGCTGCTGCCCCTAGAACAGCAGCTTGCCGAGCCCGTTCCTGGGAAGGCAGGATGGGACTTGAGGGCCCTGCTGTGAAGGGCTCCCTTCTGTGTGCCCCACCCTGCAGCTTCCCTTGACCCCTAGAGGCCACGCCTCTGGGCCACCTGCCCCTGGCTGGTCTGGGGTTGCAGGGCGCTTTGAGGGCACAGGATTGCTGGGGCCAGGTCGGTCTCAGGTCCCCATAGGGCACAGCCTTACAGCCTCCAGGGACTGGGGAGGCCTCTTCCTGGAAGCCCCTGGACTGGAGCTGGGTTCGGTCCCCATGGGCCTTCCCTTGTTGGATGTTGTCCCAGGGGCACTTGCTGAACGGCTGTGTTGGTTCCTTTACCTTGCTCAGTCCTCGGCTGAGGAAGAAACAGGCAGAGTCCTTTCCCTGCCTGGGTGCAGGGCAGAGCTGCTGCAGGAATAGGGCCCAGACCCCTGAGCCGCCCTGGCCACCCCTCTACAACACTCCAGGGACCATCACGCACTTAGAAAACAGTGGATGCTTTATTCCTGGGTGGCTTCTCTACAGTGAGGACACCCAGGAGCGTAGTCATGTCTTGCCCAGCACAAGCCGCCTCTTGGGATGGCCCGTTCTGTCCCGCTGGGCCTGAGCTGGCCACACCTGTGCCCACTGGCAGGCCTGCTGTGCCTCACTGGACGCCAGGTCCCGAGAGGCTCCCAGAGTGAGGGTCCACACTGCTCTGCAAGCCCTGGCTGGAGGGGTGACCCACACAGCAGCCGGCCATGTCCCTGTTCTACAGGTGGGCAGCTGAGGCCACCACAGCGTCACAGCTTCACTTCCAGGACCTCCTCTCCGTGGTCACTGCTGTGCAGCCCTAGGCCTGGCCGCGGGCCCCAGGGAGGGGAGCAGCTGGGGACAGAGGGTCTGTTCTGTGGTGTCAGATGTGGCCAAGAAGTCTCCCTGGAGCTCTGCAGGCAGAAGAGGCCGGAACCTGCTGGCCAGCTGGAGAGGCAGGAGTGAAAGGGGATGACCAGGTCAGCAGGGCTTGGCAGGGAAGTCCAGCTGGGGCAGGGTGAGGGGCTGGAGTGGCCAGCTGGGTAGGAGTGTAGGGGTTGGGGTGTCTGACCGTCTGTGGGGGGCTGGAGGGGCCAGTGGGTTAGGAGTGTGGGGGCCTGGAGTACGTGGCCGGGCTGGGGTCCAGGTGGGGCTGGCATGGAGGTACAGCTGGTTTTGGAAGATCCTGAGTAGCAGCTGCAGGCCCGGCTCAGACTTTTAGGGTGGGACTAGGTGGGCTGAGGTCACCACGCGAAGTGCAGTGAGGCGAGCCGGGTAGTCGG